GTGCTGCCTTCCGTCTTCCCATTCACGAACTTCTGGATTCCCAGTGTCCTTTACATCTCCTTCCCTGCTGCCTGATGTGATCCATCTCCATTTCTCAAGACTACATAGTCCATCATGCATTGCTTCCAGAAAGCAATGATGTTACATTGTTCGGAAGCTGACTTGTAGTTTAGAAGTCAGGCTCTGTGAGTTGTGATGCAAGAAGGTGCATATTTACACAGGGCTGAGTGAAATTGTGTCAGTGCATTAATTAAGTAAATGCTATGGACATCTTCAATAACTAAGTTTACAAACTTCTAGATGTATATGGCTATCAGGAGTGGGATAGAACTTATGGAAATGTAATATAGAAATACAGATTTCGTTTTCATGTTTGACCACAGATACCCTTTAATTCCCATCTCCAGGGGAAAAACTCCCTGTTGTAAAGGACTTTTACTTGTCTGATAGGCACTCAAAGCCCTTCCCCCTTACCCTGCTCTGCTGGTCAGAGGCCTGCTGATATCTATGGGCATGGCCCATAGTCCTGCATTGTACCTCCAGAGCGTCAAGGGACAGTCCACAAGCTAAAGCATAGGGGAGACGAGAAGGGTGCTGGGGGAACGGGGATCAGGTAAGTAAATGTCCTTTACACACCCCCTAGCCCTAAATGAACAGTTAACCCTTGCAGTGTGTAGCCCCTCCCTGCAAGGGGAGTTTTTTTTTTTCTTTTCTTTTTAACCTGGAGATAATCTTTAAAGCAGTTCTGTCACTAAAATTTTAACAGCAATAACCGCTCCATGCAAAAGTTAAAGTGACATTAAACCCTCTGATTTTTTTAACATAAATTAATACTGTAATGTGTGCCTTACTGTAATCCATGGTTGTTTCCCTTCTCTTTGCTGCTCTTCCTTTTTAAATCCTCATGTCTTATCATGCTTGGGGAGAACTTCCCTTTGCAGCTGAGTGCCTCTTCCTGTAGTGCTGGCTCAGGTTGTGAACCTACACACAGACACCATGTATCCATTTCAGAGACAAGGCAGTCTGCTGCAAAACAAGTTCTGCGCAGCATGAGAAGAGATATAGATTGAAAAGGAAGAGCAGCAAAGAGAAGGGAAACAACCATGGATTACAGTAAGGCACACATTACAGTATTGTCACTCTAATACCTCTGCCTGTGCTGCCAAATACTGAGACATCGCCTGCTGAACTGTCCAGAGAAACTGAGACTTCCAGTAGTGTTGATCTTCTGTTTTGTCCACTGTAATCAGTGGATCTTTCTGCCGACCACCACATCACTACCCTTTTTTTGGTTTTCAAGACTGCCTGTCGGTTTTTCAGGTAGATTCGATTGGATGACCAATGTTAATATTGGCAGCTAGAATCCCAGTGTTCATTTACACCCGGTTGTCCCCCAACTCTGGCCAGGTCCAGAAAACCAAATGGAACAGTGTTCCGTTTGGCTAGACCTGATCATGATGGAACGGGGGTAATCTGATGTAAACGAACACATGGTGGTCACAACGGCGACATCCGATCCGTACCGCTCAGATCGGGAGGGGATCCATGCATAGATCCCCCCTCCTGATCAGCCTGTGTAAAATGGGCCTTTAAACAAACTAGAAAAAAAATGTATGGAACTGTGAACAGTCTTGCAGAATTACCCCCTTCAGGCCTTTAATATATAACCAGTAGGACAATATTAACCATTTCGCTGCCAAGCCCTCCGGAACATTTTGCACCTCTGCTGGCCACGCCATTTTTGCAATTTTTCCCATTGAAAAAAACAAACAAACCATATATTTTCTGAAAGCACAGGTCCGGTAGAATAAAAAGATGGTTCTACTAAATATTCCCTTCTCTTTGCTGCTCTTCCTTTTTAAATCCTCATGTCTTATCATGCTTGGGGAGAACTTCCCTTTGCAGCTGAGTGCCTCTTCCTGTAGTGCTGGCTCAGGTTGTGAACCTACACACAGACACCATGTATCCATTTCAGAGACAAGGCAGTCTGCTGCAAAACAAGTTCTGCGCAGCATGAGAAGAGATATAGATTGAAAAGGAAGAGCAGCAAAGAGAAGGGAAACAACCATGGATTACAGTAAGGCACACATTACAGTATTGTCACTCTAATACCTCTGCCTGTGCTGCCAAATACTGAGACATCGCCTGCTGAACTGTCCAGAGAAACTGAGACTTCCAGTAGTGTTGATCTTCTGTTTTGTCCACTGTAATCAGTGGATCTTTCTGCCGACCACCACATCACTACCCTTTTTTTGGTTTTCAAGACTGCCTGTCGGTTTTTCAGGTAGATTCGATTGGATGACCAATGTTAATATTGGCAGCTAGAATCCCAGTGTTCATTTACACCCGGTTGTCCCCCAACTCTGGCCAGGTCCAGAAAACCAAATGGAACAGTGTTCCGTTTGGCTAGACCTGATCATGATGGAACGGGGGTAATCTGATGTAAACGAACACATGGTGGTCACAACGGCGACATCCGATCCGTACCGCTCAGATCGGGAGGGGATCCATGCATAGATCCCCCCTCCTGATCAGCCTGTGTAAAATGGGCCTTTAAACAAACTAGAAAAAAAATGTATGGAACTGTGAACAGTCTTGCAGAATTACCCCCTTCAGGCCTTTAATATATAACCAGTAGGACAATATTAACCATTTCGCTGCCAAGCCCTCCGGAACATTTTGCACCTCTGCTGGCCACGCCATTTTTGCAATTTTTCCCATTGAAAAAAACAAACAAACCATATATTTTCTGAAAGCACAGGTCCGGTAGAATAAAAAGATGGTTCTACTAAATTTGTAGGCCCTGCAATAATTGCGCAAATGTTTCTCAAATGAACATTAAACCGATAAAAATACACACTAAAATTTAGTATCAGTGCACCCAAAAAAATAATTTTCCCATAACGTCTTCCAGGACAGCATCACGAGATGGAATCTCCTCATGCTGTCCTGGAAGACTAATGGAAATAGAGTTACCGGTAAGTCCTAACTCTGAATTTCTGACCTAAATCTAAAAGATAAAACTGTATTGAGTTAATAAATTATTTTCAAATTTTAAATTGTGCCTTTTTGCGAAAAGGTAAAAAAATGAAGAAGCACAAAACTGTAAATAAGCGACTTATGTTAAAAATAGTTTTTGCGCTGTGTTGCTTGTATTGTGATAAAATGGTACAGGCATATATTTCATTGCAATACAAGGTATCACAATGCTCGGCAATGCGTCGCAAAGCTTTGCCATGCGCCACCACAGTTAAATTAATGTTTTTTTTAAAAGAAAAAAAATCATGCGATGCGTTATGAGAGTCTCCATCTTGGAGCACATGTGGCAAAAGGTAAAATTGGGTGCAGGTTTGTCAGGAGGAAGCCCAACCTCCTTTTAAAGGAGACTTAATTTAGAGTTAGGACCGCACTATATAGAGGTGCCTTGGCCCGGCTGTGCGGCTTTCACATTTTCTGCAGAAAACGTGTATCTAAACCTCCTGTTTTTAAGCTCAGCGGTGAGACAAGTTTATTGCATGCTGGCTGGTGAGTGTGCTGGGAAACTTTTTGCTGTATAAAGCCCTTCCATGTGCACCTTGCTGTACAGCTGGTGACGAATTGATGAGTGCGTTTTCCATTTGTTTTGCTTGACTGATTTGGTGCAGTGACACATGGGGGGTCTCAGCTGCTGTTGTGATGTGTGGGGGTCAATGTGCCTTTTTAAGGAGGTTGGGCTTCCTCCTGACAAACCTGCACCCAATTTTAGCTTTTGCCACATGTGCTCCAAGATGGAGACTCTCATAGTTTAGAGTTAGGACCGCACTATAAGAGGTGCCTTGGCGCGGCTGTGCGGCTTTCACATTTTCTGCAGAAGACGTGCATCCAAACCTCTGTTTTTTACAGACGATCACTCCAGTGTTTGTCCTCCACACACAGGATCGGTAAATATCAGATATTTACCAATCCCCCGCTCGGCCACGCACACACCCGCTGTCGCCTGGAAACTGACAGGATGACAGCGGCTGTTCTCTCCTCCCTGCTGGGCTGCTCTTATGCCGCTTGATCACCATGATCGAGCGTCTCATTCCTCCGAACCCCCCCGCCGGATATTTCTATTGGGAACCCGCTGCCCCTACAAGCAGGGGAGAGCAGCGGGGATCCGTGGAGTCACAGATCCCTGCCTGGAGCAGCTCCAGGCAGGGATGAGAGGCTGAACATGCAGCGTTAAATGTCAGCGCCGTAAAGGCATACTGACCTGGCGTATTGCGAACAGTTTTGTTCGGCCGTATGTCTTGCGGCAGTGGCAGGGAAAGGGTTAAAGGTTATATAAACACCAATGGTGACCTTTTCTTACTTCAGGTACCTTCTGGCCTGTTAAAACGTCGAAGGTGTTTTGTGTAACCTGTTTGATAATTGCGCAAAATACCTGTTGAACTGCCAGAAATCCTGTGAGCTGATCACTTCCTGTTCTGACTGCGATACCTGGGAACAACACCATTCATAATAGAGGCCTACAGAATACCAAAGGGGGAGGGTATTTTGTAGTCTTGTCCTATGGTGTTAAAATATTGGGGTAAGTATTGTCACCCTATGACATCAAGTGTATTGGCAGGATTTTCTTAAAAATAAAGGACAGAAGCTTGCAGAAAAAACCCCGAATGCTGCCACCCTATCAAAGGACTGACGAGCTGCAATCTATTATATTTTTCTTGTTGGGTTTAGATGCTCTTTAACAGCTAAACAACGGTCACTGTTAATTCGGTAACACTATGGCACCTACATAATAAGGGTTAAGCACTCTTGACTGAAGAATCTTGTTTAGGTCTTTAGCTTGTAAGATAAATAGGTCACAGGATTATGTCTTTCCTGCTATTTACCATTTTCAATAGTTGGCCAACTATTTTTGTTTACTAGGATTAGTTGTTGGGAAAGCTTCCCCTCCTTCTTTTTGATGTGTAACAGAAATATAGATTTAAAAGCCTGTTGTGTTTTTTTTGTTTTTTGTTTTTTTGTTACAGGTTCAACCAGAGATAACATTCACTTGATCTGAAGCAGCACAATGGACGGTGGAGACATTGTATTCTTGCGGGCAGAGTTAGACCGTGTGTCTGCGGAGCTGCAGGAGACAACAGAGGAGAAATTTCAGGCTGCTCAGTATGGACTGGTTGTGTTGGAGCATAATGCAGAATTAAAGCACAAATACTGCGACCTGGAGTCTGAATGTGAGCAGATGAGGCTGGAGCTAAAGCAAATTAAGGAGGTAGGAGTGGAGTCATGAATTGTCATTGTTTTACTTTTGTAGTGTGTTTCTCTATAAAGCTGGCCAAACACCGTTAGAACATTCTGGTCAGAACATTGGACAATGCCATCAGAGATTTGATGAATGGAGTCTGACATTTTGGAATGATTGCAGTTTCCACAAAAGTTTGAACGAAAAGTACATTTACTGTTAGGCTACATTCACACTAGGTGCGAATAGATGCCTTTAGGAAGCTTTTCTAAACGCATATAAATGTATCTATTTCCAATGGATCTATTCACACATTCAAGGGAATTTTATCAAAACTGGAGCAGACAGAAGCTGGAGCACTTGCCCATGGCAACTAATCAGCTTCTCTCTTCAGTCTGTTCAGTCAAGATTTGAAAATCAAAGAGAGATGCTGATTGGTTGCCATGGACAGCTGCTCCAGATTTTGTCTGCTCCAGATTTGATAAATTCCTCTCATTGTGTTTAGATGCTTTTATCATACATCCGTTTATCTGCATTTAGAAAAAATAGAAGTCAGGTGCATCTAGGAATGGATTTTAACTTCTAAATGCACAAAATGGGCTCTGTGTCCCCTCCAATCCCCACTGCTCCCAGTGGGGCTATGGTATGACACCGAACCCAGCAACTTGACCACAAACTAGCAAACAACTTTGTGCTTCCTATAAAGAGAAGGAGGTTCTGTGACATCA